CCCCAAAACCCCAAAACCCCAAAACCCCGTAATCCATTTATTGTAATGACTGGGTAATTTATTAATTTTAACCCTTGTGAAATAATATTGGAATAATCTATTAAAGAAATAATATATCAGAAGTAGCTCAACTCAAATAGATTGCTTAAATTTTTATCTCCGTTGATTTAGATTTTTCCTTAAATCACTAAATGTTTCAAATTAACTATTACTAGTATGATCTAAAAGCGAAATTTTATCATTGATAGATGGGAGTAAACTAATTTTTTATTATTAAGGTATATCTCCTTTAATGCTTTCTCTATTTAAAATATCTTTAAACTAGCATATATCTTATTCAGGTATTAAATTTTTCAAAATTCTCTTATCTATTTTGTGTTTATCGAATCTCTTAATCATATATTTAAGGTATCCATTAATTTTCTAATCTTCATTGAAATCAAAAGCCTTTTCTAATACCTAGTGTTTCTATGATTTCATATTTTTGTTATCATCTAATGGAATTAGACTGTCTTATTAAAGTAGATTATTTTTACTAGTGTAATCTACTACTATATTTTGTTGTAGGACGGGCAAAAAAAAGCTCTAGTATCATGAGATAATAATCTTCGCCAGCAAATCTGTAGTTTTAAGTGCTCTCAGAACTCTTGTGATTTCTAACTCTTTTTAAAGTTTTTAAAGACCATCTTTAAATAGTCTTTATCTCTAAGTGAGTTTTCTGTATTTTTTACAGCAGAATTATTTTCTGCAAATCAAAAGAAAATTGTCCTTTAATCTGAATTCAAATGGTCTAAGACTCTTGATATAATCTACTATAAAGTTAAACATTTTTCTATTATCCTCAATAGTATTATCAGATTTGGGGCTGTTCTCACTCAAGTATCCATCTCCTTCAAATTAAGTGTTATCGCGAGAATGACTAATCTAGCTTAGTCATCCTTTTTGGTACCCAAACAATGAATGAATTTTAGCCTCTTGTTATTGATTTAAGCTTTCCTATCCTGCGACTTATTATGTATACATACTGGACTATTTATTTTCATCTTTTGTAAGAGTCTTATTTGTTTCATTTAAACTAATTTTGGCTTTAGTTTTACTTCTGTTAATTGTTTAGAATCTTAAATCTTCTTTTTGTTCTTCAAAGTAAAATATCCTTTTCATTATTGATGAGATGTATTAGGCTTCTTATATGTAATACAGGAATAGCCTAATAATTGGATATAATAATCCAATTTAGCCACCAGTTTTAGAAAGAGCATCAATAATATTTAGTTATGTTCTTTCAATCAACAGAATTTTATCATCTATGACCATCTACAAATTGATAAAAAAGTCAGGCATATACATTCCAGTGCTGTATTATTCAAAGAAAACATCATAGTAAGATATATTTTTGTTATCTAGTCTTGTGCTTATCAGAGAGTCTTTTAAATATGCAAAGTTTTGATGAAGCTTAATCGTTTGCTTTTGCATCACATTTGTATTAAACTAATACCTGTAAAACTTAATACTATCTTTAATAGGGTCACCCAAAAAATCTTTTTCATCAAAGTACTTAGTCTAAAACACTATTTGAAACTCTACATCTCTGATAATCTCTTCAATTTCAGCTTGTGTTCTACATACTTTTCTTTAATTTGGATATTTCATATTGAGTGAGGTTTAGTTACAAGTTCAAACATTAAAACCCAATTATTATTAGGTTTCAGATACAAGACTACCCATCATGGGTATTGAGAAATTTTCATATAAACAGTCGAATTTAGAAAGTAATTTCCTACTTAAATCGCTAGTTTAGTCCTGGCTAAACCTATTTTCAGAACATTTTACCATTGGCAATATAACTGCTTGATAGTATTGCCCAGATAGATCTTTATTCATGGAAAAATTAGTCATTAATACCTCTAATGTAAAAAATTCATCCATCCTGTCAACTAAATCATGGTTATTTCCACCATACATGATATTCAAAGCAAAGTCAATATTATCTCTTGTTAGATTCATAGACATTGGGAATCAAGCTTAATTTCTTTTAAAGTTTGATCTCGCTATTAAGTTTTCACTCCTATGGTATATGGACAACAAAAGAGTAGAGAAGTATAGGAGTATTCCTGCTGTGGTTATTAGAGTGACAAGACCTCCAAAAAAAGTGTGGTATGTGGGTTTCCTCTTATAGTTGAAAGTGATATGGTGGCCAAAAGAATCTTAAGATCTGATAAATCTAAAGAGCCGAGTGCTTAATTTCATTTCTTAATTTAAACAATTGAAAATTATCACAGAATCCAATTATTCTATATTAACATCTTATTAATCTTTTTTTTTAAAAATCTAAAACGCAAGGGGTTTTGGGGTTTTGGGGTTTTGGGG